TAATTTTATTAATTATAGGATCTAAAGCAGGTGGCAGCACCCATCCATCTTCTGTATTGAAATTTGGATGTTTTTTAATTTCAATTGTCTCGCGTATCATCCTTGGTAGGAATCTGTGTTCTTTTGCGAGGATTTGTGGTTTATGTAATCGAATGTAATGGTGGGGACGATCTTGAATATGTTCGCAGACTGCAGACTTCCCCGGAGCGTCGGTGCTTCACGTCAGCTATGTGTTCTTTCACGGGGGGTTTTTATGGATCTTTTTGTTTGACCTATGTAAGAGAGACCACATTCAAAATCTAACTTGTACACTCCTGCATCTTGTAGAGGAATATTACATTTGATGGATGGTAAAAATTGACTAATCTTCTTCGGCGGCTTGTAGTAATTTCCCGTAATAAATTGAGACCCATTTGAAAACAAAGTAGTCCCTCGGTGGCGATTTTTTTCATCGGGCTAACGACATGCATACATATGTTCGAAATAGAGTGTAATTCGATGCGATATTTCTCACGTAAATTATGTAACTCTGCAATAAGTCACATTTAAATATATTGATTATGTTTCGCTATTTATTAGACATTCTATGAAATAATTTTAACTAGTAACTTTACTATCTGCCAGAGGAGGAGAAAATTAATAACACTTTTCAAGAAGACGATGCTCCCGCCTTTAAAAGTAGAACTGAAAATTTTTGGTCAAATCAATTTTTTGTGTAATTAATGATTTTGGCAATTTTATAAACTGCACCGATTGCCACTAACCGCATTAAAATCGAAATAGCTCAAAGATCTGTGAAATTTAAAGCTTTGCATTTTACATTAGCGGTAAGTTGAAGGGATAGCTTAAAACGTGATTCGATTTTTTTTTTCAATAAAAAGTATCTTTACACCAGGAGTTTCTCCTGAAGCATGGGGGCAGTTTACAAACATAAATTTGACAAGGAAAAACATCCAGACCAGAAAAAATTATTTATAGATCATACAAATACTTGTTCCGTGCAGGGTTCAAACTCACGAACCTCAGCGCCGCAACTCATCGCTAACGACTACGCCACTGGACCGTCAATTGAAAGAACATAATTAGATAATCTATCAAAACACTTTGTGCTACTAGAATTAAAAGCATTAACGATAGGAAGTACTAGAATCAACTTCCGAGAGATGATGGCATGTTAATCTCGTTTGCGCTGATAGACAGGGGTAGTGTCAAAGCTGCGAAACGTCTGGTATTGCGACACCCGCGGGATGTAATTAGTTGATGGATTCCTTCAAACTTCCACCATACTTCTATTCATCAATTATTATTGATACCACTATTAATTCCGAATATACATAGAATAATCTTATCATAAAGTAACCACCGTTGCTGTACTTCTGTACAGGTTAACCTTGTAGTAGCGGCGTAATTACATCAACTACCCCATATTTTACCGTGCTTGGTCGTAGGAGGCAACAAAGGGAAGCTGAGGCAGAAGATGGACAGCAGCATGTTGATAACAACAGCAAAATAACAATAAAAAGACGAAATAAAAAAATGGCAATTATGACAAATAGGATATGAAGGCCTATTTTCAGCAGTGTACTTTAATAGTCTATGATGGTAACGATACCAAAGAAAAATAGTATTCCTTATTTCATAGATATAACAGAGATGAAATTACTATAGTATTAAGAATATGTAGGTAGAATGACCCTAAGTTAAAACAGTTCAGATTAAATATAGTTACGGCACATTTGAGTACTCAAACTAAGGCAGTGCTTGTTCGACTTGGCTTGCCTACCTGATGTTGATATAGCTAATGGCAAATAGGTGATAACAAAGATTATAACTTTTAATACATCGTGATTTCCATCTATCCATCATTAAATCCTATAAAATTTCACTGCTAAACATAGGCCTCCCCCATTGATTGCCTCTAAGGGGATTATGCCATAGTTGCCACGCTAGACAGGCTACAAGATGCTGCAGCCCGTCTCCTGTTTCAGTTTCCATCTGTTGCTGTTTACAACACCCACAGGGGAATATGAGGTATTGGATATTCTTACACGGTTATGATTTAGTAGTTAATTATGTCAAAGGAGTTTGCGACGGCATACCGTGACTGGATGAACATAATGCTGCATGCTAAGTATTGTAAAAAGAATTTGTAAGCATCAAGCCTTGTTCTGATATTTTGAAATACTAATTATTAGTTTAAGATATATCCGACTATTTTGTTAAAGTTTAAGTTACCAACAAAAATGGCTTATAAATATTACTATAAAGGCAATACACAAATTACAGGTACTACCCATAATATTTAGATTCTTGAATCTAACTGCAATAGCGTAAACCTCCGTAAAACAGGTATATTTCAAAATCGATTTGGGATAATTTTTTAAAATTTTCTTTACGAAAGTAATTTAAATTGCTAAGATATTTTAGGCAATTTGTACTAGAAATTTTAGGCAGATAACTTGGTGTGGTATCGTTTTAAAGTTTTGCAATAAAACGCTAATAGCTTACGAGTTAGTACAAGACTACTCTTATTTAATAGAATAGTATTTGATTAAATTAGATAAACGAGCAATAGCGAGTTTTTTTTTAACACACCGTCGTCCTCATTGCAATTCTAATGACGGATTTTCAACTTTCTAAGTTTCTAGTCTGATTTTTTTTATATCTTTGTACTTATACGCTAGTATGTATATATGTGTTTGTATATGAGTATGTATTTATTTATATAATATACTCTAGACTATTTTTTCATTTTATATTAATTTATTATGCAGTCTGCATCTCTCAACAATTTTTATAATCCCACGGTTTACAGAATTTAACGCCGCCAATTGTAAGTACGTAATTAAATAATCGTAGCGTTATATTTTCATTTTAGTAAATTTCTTTCCACATCTCCATAGAGACAGAAAGTTTTTGATTTTGTGATCTTTATTAAAAATGAAGCTATTAGCGAAATTACAGTCTACCTGATGCTAAACACACGTGGCTACCGTTTTCCGTGGATGCGTTGTCATCTCTGATAACTAAGATGGAATGTCTCACAGCTTGTTAATAAGTGGTCATAGCCTGAATTTTTGTATTACAACTGTCCAATTATATTGGCTCTCTATCCTTCTTAGAATCCTAGACACAAAAGGAGTCTATCATATAGCTCCATCATTTTAGTTTTATTAACTTTGAAATTATTTCACACGATTTCAAGAAAGACAAACAACAAACTTTACCAAATTGAATCATTATGCACAAGAGTAGCCGCATAGCCATTTAACTTGTGACCGGAGTAAGCAGTAGTATTACAAATGATTTGTCTCTATAAATTTGACCACATTTAATATGCATCCATTTTAAAGTAAGCTCAACTTTATAACGTGCCCACGCTAATATGGATCTTAATGATGTTACTTATAACATGCACCATATAAAATTATTGCTAAATTCGGCGTTGTTACCAGCCTATAATAATAATCAATTTAAAGCAAATTATAGTAAAATCATGTATTTAAATTACCAATAAGATATTTATACAAACAACGGTTGTAGTTAAGTAATAAGCATGATTAAAATCTCTTCTATAATAATCCATTTAGCGTCCGTTGAAATCGCAATTGTATACACTCTCAGAACAAGCGAAACTTTGTATAATGATCCTTTAGAACTGTCTAAAATAGAAGTGAAACTACCCATCTTAATATATATTTATATAAAACCCATTATTAAATAATATTATGGTATAGTATAGTATTTTTCATATATGTCATAATAATAATAATCATATAAATTATAAATCATAAACTAACATCGTATGTTATAGCTCATGAAAAATTAACATATAAAATTCCAACTAACAATTTTATTTATATCAGCCAGTATAATTAAATACACGCTGTGAGGCATTCCATTTTACTTGTCAGTGGTAACTACGCATCTACAACCTTCTTTGTTTGAATTTAAGAGTAGTTGCATTTGTTGATTGAATGCAGCATAATTTTTTTATGGAATAAGTGTGACATGAGAGCATAAAGCCCACCTGATTGTAATTAGATGCTGTGGTCCATAGAAATCTTCATTTATTCTCGACAAAGAATAAAAATTCTAGTTCGTTTTCAGCGTTGTATCGAATAAATCTCTAAAGGATCGATAAACTACTATTCAAAATCAGTGAGACAGAGACAACGATTCGTACAGTGTGACGTATGTATACTGAAAATGAAACTGTACGTTAATAGTATACACGTTTCATTACTTGCATCTCGAGTGAAATGAGGCGTAAAATTGTGATGCACTGCACTTCTTAATAGCGACTTTTATTTGTGCTTAAAATGAATTTAGGAATTTAATTATTAATACTATTACAGTTTTTTTTAAACTATGGTTCCAAATTCCCCTTAGACGGCACTTTAGGGGGAGACTTTGTTTAGTAGTGGACTATCCTATTCTGAAATAGAATGGAATATAATGGAATCATTTTATTCAATATTGTTTACATGTATTTTTTATATTGAGTAATTTTTTACTTTTACCACTGATTCGGAAAAAAAGCCTCTTTCCTGGGAAGAACCAGCGATAAATCTAGCGGAACTTCTACATTTAACTATTATATATATATATATATATATATATATATATATATATATATATATATATATATATATATATATATATATATATATATTCCATCCATTTTGTTCGATAACTTGTTGACATCTTGTAGTGACATAATCCAGTTGCTGTAGAAATCTGGGGTTTTTAGATTAAAAAAATGCTACCAGTATTTTTGACAGTCCCCTAATGATGTTAACCTAACACTACCCAAAGAATTCTAAATAGACTGAAACAGGTGAAAATCTGAGAGTGCAAGTTTAGAACTATATGGTGGATGTATTCACACTTCCCAACCAACGTCTTTTCAAGGTCAAATATGTAGACACAGTAGTGAAGACCACACACTTTACTCTATATTTATGGAATAGAATTTGATTAGATTAGATAAACAAGCAATGGCGAGTTTTGAAACGGTGGTAAGTTTTATTGTTTCCTTAAACATCTGAAATCAGCATTTTTTGGTAAATTCTTACACTGCAATTAGACGATTAATAATAATCATAACGCATTTTAATAAAATTTACCACCGTGACATGACGATCTGCTATAACGTTTATTCGTCTCTTAATTTCCCGTTATAAAAATAAATCATAACTCATATTACTCATCATTTCATAAAAGTGTTTGCTGCATACACCTCGTAAGTACAAAGATATAAAAATGATTTACACTAGTTACCTAAGTAAGTTAAACGTCTATCGTTAGAATTGCAGTGAGGACGACGGTGTATTAAAAAAAAACTCGTAATTTTAAAACTTGCGAATTATATACTATTAATTATCTAATATCTAATCTAAGACTTTTACACGGTGCGGTAAAACTGCGGTTGCCAACCCGCTCGCCAAGCGTGGCAACTATGGCAAATATCCCCCCCATGAATAACGACGCAAACAGATAGCCCCAGTCCTCGGCGGCCCCGCTATTCCTGGCTACGGTGGTAAACATGGTAACGGCGGGGCAGGGGGTGCTAAGAATCTCCGGTGGAGGTTCGGTTGCCACCTACGACGACTCGACCTGGCAACATATAACACACGCACCCTGAGAACTGACGAGAAGATACTGGAGCCAGAAGAAGATGTAGATAAGTTGCGCTGGCATATTATTGGATTATCCGAGGTCCGAAGAGAGGGGGAGGACACGGCAATCCTCGAGTCCGGCAACTTGTTCTATCACCGCGAGGGCGACCATCTGTCCCAAGGAGGTGTCGGATTTATCGTTGAATATATAATAGTTTTACGGACTTTACACGGTGTTGATGGGAGACTTCAACGAAAAACTAGGCACAAGAGAAAGCGGTGAGCTGAAGGTAGAGAAATTTGGAGTAGGTCAACGGAACCGAAGGGGCCAGCAGCTGGCCGAATTTATGGAGAAAGGGGGAATCTTTATAAAGAACTCTTTCTTCCAGAAGCGGCCCCACAGGAAGTGGACCTGGTCGAGCCCCGACGGTTCGACAAAAAATGAGATTGACTTCATTATGACGACCAGACGCCAACTGTTCAGTGATGTCTCAGTGATCGCAAGGGTGAAAACTGGCAGAGATCACCGAATGGTTAGAGGCACACTGAACGTAAACGTTAAGTTGGAGAGGTCTCGTCTAATGAAGTCAACGCTCCGACCCCTCGTGCTCTAATCCAGAATGCCGAAACTTTTCAGCTCGAGTTACACAACCGCTTTCAGTGCCTAGAAGATTGCAATGCAGTGGACGATATGAATGACAAGCTCGTGGAAACTGTCCATGCGGTCGAAGCTAAGTTCTGCAAGACCCGCCGCAGAAGAACACAAAAACTCTCTAATCACACTGTTAATCTCATGGCTGTTAGACGGGAGATGACGCTGCAATCATCAACAGATTTGACAGCATACAGGCAACTGAACAGACAGATCTCCAAATGCATACGGCGAGACTTACGCAACTTTAATACTTCTCGTATTAAAGAAGCGATCGAGCGGAACCAGAGTTCCAAAGTATTTGCCAGAGATCTGTCTGCCAGAAAGAGCCAACTGTCAAGGCTGACGACTGAGTGTGGCAACATCGTTTCCGGGACACCTGAGATTCTGAGTGAGATTGACAGCTTCTATGGGCAGCTGTACACATCATAGTTGGAGCCACACGCAAGTGTGGTAACAATCCAAGAGCAAGTCTTATCCGACACTATTCCACAGTTACAGCGGAGCTTCTGAAAGCGGGTGGAACACCGGTACTTGAAGTCCTTCAGAAGCTCTTCAATTCCGTCCTCCATGGTGGCACTACTCCGGAGGCGTGGAGCAGAAGTGCGGTGGTCTTGTTCTTGAAGAAAGGTGACAACGCTCTCTTGAAGAACTACAGACCGATTTCCCTTCTGAGCCGCGTCTACGTGCTGTTTTCGAGTCATTATGAATCGTCTCGCACGCAGACTTGACGACTTCCAGCCGGCCAAGCACCACCAAAACAAGCCGGTTTCCGAAAAAGGCTTTAGTACCATAGACCACATACATACCCTTAGGCAAATTGTACAGAAGTCCGAAGAGTACAATCTGCTTTTCCTGGCATATGAGGACTATGAGAAAGCCTTTGATTCCGTCGAAATTTGGGCGGTGCTACAGTCTTTTCAGCGGTGCCAAGTTGACTGTCGGTATATCGAAGTGCTGTAGTGTTTATACATTAGGGCTACGATGGCTATCCGAGTACAGAACCAGAGTTCGAAACCTATCCAACTGCAGAGAGGTGTAAAACAGGGTGATGTTATATCCCCGAAACTCTTCACCGCTGCTGCTGGCAGACGTTTTCAAGCTTCTGGACTGGAAAGGATATGGTATTAACATCAATGGCGAGTACATCACTCTCCTTCGATTTGCCGACGATATAGTCCTTATGGCAGAATCGCTGAAGGACTTTAGCACTATGCGCAATGACCTCAATGGTGTCTCCCAAAGGATAGGTCTTAAGATGAACATGGACAAAACAAAGATCATTTTTAATGTCCATGTCACATATGCCGGTAGTTGTTGGGAGCACTATGCTCGAAGTTGTTGACGAGTACGTTTACCTGGGACAAATAGTCCGAATAGGTAAGTCCAACTTCGACCGAGAGGTCAATCGACGGATTTGACTCGGCTGGGCAGCGTTCGCGAAATTACGACACATCTTCTGGTCAGGTATACCTTAATTTCTGAAAACTAAAGTGTATAACCAGTGCGCGTTGCCAGTGATGACTTATGGATCTGAGACGTGGTCCTTCACTGTTCGCCGTATGAGGACGCTCAAGGTCGCTCAGCGAGCTATGGAGAGGGCTATGCTCGGAGTTTCTCTGCGTGATAGACTCAGAAATGAGGATATCCGCAGTAAAACCAGAGTGACCGACATAGCCCAACGGATTAGTAAGCTGAAGTGGCAATGGGCCGGCCATATGGCTCGAAGAACCGATAACCGATGGGGAAGAAAGGTTCTCGAGTGGCAGCCCTCGTACCGGTAGGCGTAGTGTAGGGCGACCCCCACTAGATGAAGTGACGACCTGGTAAGACGTGCAGGAAGTCGATGGATGCAGGTGGCTCAGGACCGTGCTTTGTGGCGTTACTTGGGGGAGGCCTATGTTCAGCAGTGGACTTGTGAAGGGCTGTAATGATGATGATGATGATAATCTAAGACTAACTATATATGTTTTACTAACTACAATAGAACTCAACCTAATTTTGATATTAAAATTAATTCTTGTGTTGACCTTAATAACTCTAACTGCTCATGCTCAATAAATTATCAAGTGCAAAATATTTTGGAATACTATTGGATCAGCGATTATCCTGGCATTTACATTTTGAACTTTTAATTAATAGGATTAGAAAATTCATATGGTTTTTCAAAATTTTAAGACATCTCGCAACACCACCTATATTAAACAAGTATATATTTCTTTAGTTCAATCAGTTCTGGTATATTGCATTAGTATATGGGGAGGTGCTATAAAAAAGTTTTTATATTTAGAAAGAGCTAAGATATCATTACTGAAGGTTATGAATTTTAAGCCTTACAAATTTCCAACACAAGAGTTATACACTGTATGTGTATACTGTGTGATCTTCTTATAGTTACCAAGTTGTATAAATTAAATATAGTCTTAAGGTACACAAGTCCTTTGAATTTAACCGTGAAGTTGAAAATAGAAGGAGGAAAACAAAAGCAGTTTCTAGTGATTAAACAGAACAAGAAAACAGCATTTGCTAGACGGCAACAGCCAAAAAAGTCCTCTTATTTATATAATTACTTAAATAAATAATTAAATATCTATTCTACACACACACACGCATATACTCACGCGCTAACACACACACACACACACACACACACACACACGCACGCACACAAGCATGCACACGCATACACACATGCACGCGTGCGCGCACACGTCACAAGTAATGTTATGCTATTCTTGTAACTGAAGTATTGTAGGTTAATTAAGGAAGAGCGAGTTTTTCCTGTCACAAGTATTTAAAAATACTTAAAAAGAGAAAAGTATTTAAAAACTCTAATTTACTATGATTGTAAATTTATTGATACAGAATAAATATTTTGAATATTTTTTTTAATTTAGAATTAATAGTAAAATCTTGTACCGACTCGTAAACTATTATTATTTATTGCAAAACTTTAAAACGATACCGCACCAAGTTAACTGTGAAAATTTTCTTGTACAAATTGCCTTAATCTAAAATATCTTTTAGCAATTTAAATTAATTTTCGTAACGAAAATTTAAATAAATTGGCCCAACTCGATTTTGAAATATACATATTTTACGGAGGTTTACGAGTACGGTATTGCATTTAGATTCAAGAATCTATATATTTTGGGTAGTACCTATAATTCGTGCGTTGCTGTTTCATAAGCCATTTTTGTTGCTCACTTAAACGCTAACAGTATAGTCGGACAAATCTTAAGCTAATAATTAGTATTTTAAAATATCAGAAGAATGCTTGATGCTTGCAAATGCTTCTTTACAATACTTATCATGCAGCATTCTGTACATCGATCACGGTATGCCGTCGCGAACTCCTTTGTCATAGTTAACTACTAAATCATCACCATGTAAGAGTATCCACTACCCCATATTCTCCTGTGGATGTTGTAAACGGTAACAGATGGAGAGCATTTTGTAGCCTGCAGAATCTTCTGCCTAGCGTGACAACTATTGCATAAACCCCTTAGAGACAATCAATAGGGGAGGCCTATGTTTAGCAGTGAAATTTTATAGGCTTTAAAGATAGTTAGATGTAAATCATGATCAAAAGCTATAATCTTTGGCTACATCATCTATTTCTCATTGGCTATATCAACATCAGGTGGGCAAGCGAAGTCGAACAAGCACTGCCTTAGATTAAGTACTCCAATGGGCCGTAATTATATTTAATCTGAGCTGTTTTAACTTAGGGTCATTCTACCTACATATTCTTAACACTTTAGCAATTTTATCTCTGTTATACCTAAGAAATAAGAAATATTATTTATTCTTGGTTACAATACCGTTACAAACTATTGAAGTACACTGCTGAACACAGGCCTCCATATCCTATTTGTCATAATTGCTGCGATTTTTCTTTTTATTTCACCTTTTTTATTAACTCATATTATTATTAACATAATATTGACTCAGTATTTATTGGCTGCGGATGTGGATGCACGACCAGTGCTATGTGCACTGAATATGGAAGTGTCTATGCCACTCGTAAAGTGTATCTTTTTTATCCAGCGGCTGTGGGTCTGAGATGTTATTTATGAACGTGGGCGTTTGAAATTAATATACAAATATAAATTACTACGAAGCGGTTGAGTTTTATTGGTGTACATTTCTAAGCAATTTGCGGGACATATACTAGGGCGAACATTAAAATAAGGTAATCTCAACACTGGTTGAGGAGCATTAGAGCTTGTGCTATAGTCTGAACACGATGTGCAGTTACTAAAGCCAAGAGTGTTACGGTCTTTTTGAAAAGAGTTTCCAAGTCGAGGTCGGATTTAGGCCACTGTAGAGTTAAATTATTTTGAACTATGGTTGGGTCCCACTTCAAATTATACTTTGGAAAAGTTGGCCTTAACCTATAAACTTCTTTCATGAATCGTTTAATTCTATCATCGTGTATTAAATTACCTAGCAATAAGGATAATGCTGATTTGTAAGAGTTCATAGTGCCATATTTGGCACCTTTATCAAAAACAATGGAAATAAAATGAATTACTGTAGGAACAGAAACTACAGAGTTATCATAAACATGTATTTTACAATATTTTATTTAATTTTTAATACATCCGTCATATTGTTTATATGTAGAACTAGATAAAGAAGACAATATAATTTTTACTGATCTCCAGGACAAACATCTCTTAAATAAAGTATTCCTGAAAGCCTCGCGGTTACTAAGCTTAAGGTACTTTGTAGGTTGTGAGGCATTTTGAAAGGAGACAATGACAAATCTTTATTTGGTTTTAAATATATTGGCTTAGACCAAATTAGTTTTCGGAATACTGGGAACCAGGGTAGCGTAGGCCAATATGGTACTACTAGAGTACCTTCTACTCTATTATTAATAATTTTTTGTATGACCTTTGTTATTAGTGCAAATTATAAAAATTAATAAAGATTAAATTATTAAAGTGGAAATGCGTAGAAGAACATATTTTTTCAAGGAACGGTAAAAACGTCAGTGGCCTAGGCATCAGGCTAATTTTTCTAAGGCATATATTTATGGCTTTTAGCATTGCGTCTGCTAGCAAAAAGATCTATATCTGGGTAACCGTAGCAAAGAGTTAATTTAATAAATGCTTTATCATGAAGTTCCCATTTAGTGTCCAAAAAATTTCTTAAGAGACATTTGATCTGCTTCGTAGTATTTATATAAGAAGAGATTATAGTTGTTGCACGAATTTCACACCATTTCTATATTTGTCTGAAAATAATATTTAAATGATGGTACTGTATGCTAACCATCCTATTAATACAAGGCATTGCAGTAACATTATCAATTCGCAATAATTTTTAATTTTATATAATTAATAGCGAAGCACTTTAGAGCCAGAAAAGCTGCCTGTAACTAATTCGTAAATATGCAAAGATTTCTCATGTTCTTTCCAAAAGCCAAAACAGTTTTTCATGTAATAATAAGCACCTCGACCTGTAGATCGTGCGTTAGAAAATTTTTCTAAATTATCACAGTTTTGTGGATGGAATCGATGATCAATATGGCTTATCCATCACAGAATGTCGGTATGAAGTCGGTAAGAATCTTTAAGATTTTTTCAAACCTAGGGTTGTCGAGTAAGCACCGATATTCGAACTGTTCAAAACGTTTAGTGTATAGCAATGAATATTTAACCGCAGGGCATGCAGACAGTAGAAGTCCTCAGAGTCGAGGGAATTCACGAACATTACATGTATGTAGTTTAAGGAACTTAAAAATACCCACTTTTTTTAGAATCGGGCAATTTTACCGCCATGTTCTTGAAATCAAAAATAAAACCTAAAAATATACATTGAGTGTATAGTTCCAGGTAGCTTTTCTCTTTGCTTACTATGAAACCCAAGCTTTGGGTAAAGTTTGTAGTAAGACTTGCATTCCAAAAGCGAACATCCAATACAAAATATATCATCAATATATATAACAGATACCATTTCATTAATTATAAGAAATTCTATTACTGGTTTCATTAATTTAGTAAAAACATAAGTTGCTGTGTGTAAACCGAACGGTAGGCAATTGAATTCAAAAAGCGCGTTATTATATTTAAAGCCAAGGTATTTTAATGAGATGTTTGTATGGGTACAAGAAAATAAACGTCTTTTAAATCTATGGAAGCCATATAACAGCTTTTGGTTATCAATATTGATATTGTTCAGTAATCCTCCATCTTAAAATATCCCGCTTCTATGAACTTATTTAAGCGTTTAAGATTCAATATAAATCTATTTTTTCCGTTCGGTTTTCACGGTTTTGGCACTAAAAATACACTGGATATGAATTCGCTCTTTTATGTTTGCGGTGGGATATTGCATTAATATCTAGAAGGGTTTTGATTGACTTGTTAAAATTATGGGATTCGTGGGATGTTTTTGGGGTTAAAATTAGGATCACTAGTACGATATGGCGTACTTTTAAATGGTATTTGATAACCTTACACCCAAGATGAAATAGTTTTGTCGGAAGTTATTTTAGGCAAAGTACTGAAGTTGTCCCGAAAATAGTACCTCGTCTATGTCCGGCTAGACATCGTCCGCTTGATTGACGGCGGGCGGCGTGAAGTGCTGTTTGCCTGCTGCGGTGCCTCCCGCGGGCGCGGCGTTGACCGCTGCCCTCGCCTTGTGTTGTAAATTTGCGGCTGCAATTTGTTGTCTACCTTGAGATGTTAGTTTAGGTAGTTTAAATGGCCAGTGTTGCTGTTGGTATTGAAATTAGACCGGGTAAGTATTAATAAACGAAATTATGAAACCTCTACGTGTTCTAGATTCTTTAAAATGTCTATCGCAAGGAATGCGACAGGCGTCGCTTAAAGCTTTTAAAAGTTTTGTTTGCCAGTTTCGTCCGAAATGATCACATTGGCAACAGCACCTAGGGCTGCAATGGCGACGCCTAGCTGCATTTGTTTCAACAAAAGTGACGAGTCTCGTTTTATAGAGGTCTCTGTCGGAGCTGCTTTAACCCCCGTGTTTAGAGCTGGTACAATCAGGAGGTCACAGTGGGAGGGTATAAGATAAATCTTCAAAAGATTTTCTTTCACGTCTTTTGCCAACCCTTTAGCAAGTATGTCTTTCCACCGATTGGTTCCAATTCTTATGGATTGCTAGACCCATTGGGGTCTCGGTCTTAGGTGCATCATCAAGCAAAACCAGTATGTCTTCGTCGAGCTGCTCCTCTAACATCATCTGCTGTGAAGGTTCACTGGCAGCTGACGTTCCAGGTGTTGGAGAAATCGGACTTTTGTAAACCTACGGTTGCAGTGACTGTGGTGCCATTCTCGACACCGGTAATTTTTGGGAACGTCGGCGGTAGAGAACCAATTCCTGGAGAACCATTTCCTGGCAAGACGGGCATATGCAGGTTAACCTCCCCATCAGCCAGAAAAGGAGACTCTGCGCACGACGCTGGCGATAAAGCGTGGCACGTCCTCAGCAAATGCAGCGGTGAATCTGCAGCAAACAGTCCTTATTAGAATGTTTGTAATAAAAATGTGACAGTATCAGCCCAAAATTAGCAGTACGCATCACTTTTTTAGTGACAGAGGTAACCCAAATACGGTATCTCGCATCACAACTTCATATTTTTTATTTAGATCAATAATGACGGTAGTAGCCCAAATTTAGCAGTACGCATCAATGTATTGAATCTAAATTATAAAACTTACCGCTTAATTACTCCACAAACAAAGATTCTCCCGTATTGTTAACTTTGTTTAACTGCTTTTGCAGTTTGTAAAATTTGTTCTTGATTTCTTCTTCATCTTTTTCCTGTTTTCTTTTTCTTCTCATTTTTGCCGAAAATTAGTCAACTTTTCTACAATAAGGCTAGAAAAACATGCAAAGCCTTGAGCACGGAGATATAGAATGACTCGAATGGAAACACGCGACCTGAGATAGGCAAGGGTAGTGTTGCCAGCATTAGTAGGGATACCGTACAAAAATACTTTTAAAAATTCCGTGCAAGCCTAATACATGTAGGTGCTACTTCAATACGTTAACAATAAATCACAAATAATGAAGCCGTGAAACATTATTTAATATGGATAGCGATATAAGTATTTTCAAGCACCAGAAGATTTAATTATAAACGAGATATGAAGGACACGTAATATGTAAATATATACTTTGCTTGCTTGTATCTACTATAATATACTCCTTATATATTGAGTCATAGATACCAGTGCACAAGCTCAACCAAAAATACTTGAAGTAGAAATCTAAAATTTGGACAGCAGGTAGAACCTTTTATGACGTAGAAATTCACTATGAAATAATTTTGAAAAATTCGATCCCTAACAAGGTGAAATTAGGGTTATTATTGTTGCATGAATAAGTCAACTAGCGCCATCTAGTGTCAGGAACGAGAGCGATGGGAGCATTGAGAAAATGACATCACAAATCACTCAACCGACAGCGCCTAGTCGAAACTCGAACGCTCGGTACCTTGCGCGTGTTTACTTGAACATTCTGGATATTTCTTTGCTAATTTAAATATATAGGGGCTGCAAGATGCGAGAAGCAGAGTTGAACTCGGCGACACAAGCGAAGCTTCGGAGCGGAACTAAGTGAATTAGTGTGTTTAATTATTAGTGTTTTTAGTTTTAATTTGTGTAAAGTAAATTAAAGTGTTAATTTAGGTAATTTTATCGGCAATTTTTATTGTCACGAACCTCAAGCTCGTAACATTATTTTATTACAAAAATATTTTACAGGTCAATTGACTCAATACTAACTGAGAGTACTGTATTTTAAAAATAAATAAATATGTATTTTGCGATTTCAAAATAACCCGTTACGTTTTTACACGTGGTAGAGCCACGCTGCAGCTATATTATGGTTGTAGCATGAATGGGTCGGCTCAACCGGGGAAGTACCACGCTATCACAGAATACCAGCGTGAAATAGCAGCTTAATACTGCTGTGTTGTATGGTGAGTGTAGAGATCCGGAGACCCTTTTTTACTGGAAACGAGGCCTTCCACCTTAGGCATTCATCTCAGGGGTGACAACGCAACTGCGTTTTTATTCTTAATCGATGATAAGTGTAGATGTCTATGAGCCACAACTTCCACTTACCATCAGGTGGACTGTGTGCTCGTTTTTCATCAAAAAAACGTTAGAGGGGTCAGGGGCAGAGGGTATGCAATTTTGTATGGAAATAAAACTATTTGGTTTTTCTTAAAACAACCTCTTACCAGGTTAATGTTTAATTTGAAGGGAGAAAAATATTAACGCTTTAAAATAAATTAATTTCAAAAAATCCTCTTAAGATTTAAAAAAAGGTTTCAAAGTATGTATCAAAAATATTGTATTAAATCTACAGCTCAAACCGCTTGATGTAGATGAGTTAAATTGGAACAACAACTTTCTTTTATTAAATAGGCATCTAATAAGAAGGAATTCTTAAAAGATAAAATCATAATAAAGTAAAATAAGGCTTTAAAATATTTTTACGGGGTGATTTCATATTGGTATAGGAAAAAGTTATTAAATGATTATTGTAATTTTAAAATTAGTACGTATGCTTTAGGATTAAAATAATGCGATTAGTTTTTTTTATTTTCCTAATAACTCACCTTAAGGTGTTAAAACCGGATACATAGTTTGCACAGAATAAATAGAACTTATTATAGAACTTTACAAAAATCTGCCCCCAATTGATCATTATATACAAAATATTAAAAATTGTCACTTTATTATAGTGTCCGAATTAGTAATGCGAAAAAATATAGTAAAATCAGATACAGATAAAACGGCTTTACGTGCTGTATGAGGCAAACAGATGAAAAACTGCTAAATTCTTGACTCCAGGTAGCTGCTGAGAATTTCTTGATAGAAAACCCAACTAATTTTAAGCCCCATGACACCTATTATTTAAAGGTCAAAAAACTTTTCTACGTTGAGTTTAGTTTTATTTTTCATTTTTTTTTGTAGGATGAGACAAAATATTGGTACTTACGCAATTTAATTTATTTTGTTAGTGTAGGTAGTTTTAGGTAGGCAGGGATCTCCTAGGTGTGCGTTATTTGTAGTTAGCAGTGGCTGTAAATAACCGCCGGTACGACATACTCCGCAGATCGTTGAGTCCCGTGATTCCGAGAGGCGTCGAGGTCACCGGCCCTTAGGTGATTCTTGGCACTTTATGCGTTCCGTGCATTTTGTGCCCAGTCGCGTACTAAAGTGCCACCATCGCACTTCCCCCAACCCTTTTATTTGTAAAAGAGGTCGGCAGTGCCCCTAGTGAGGAATGCCGCTTACTATTTATCACCATCGTATATAGATAGGGCCTTCAGAATACATCTGACGGTGTTAGGTTAGACTACATCATGTCAGGTAGGGACAAGCGGGAGCCACCCCCCAAGTCAAGAGTACCACCGGATAAGAAAGCAGTGTTAGAGAGACCTTTAGTCATCAGGGATCTGGCAAATCCGGAGCGCACAAGAGTTGTGTCATCCTTCTCACAGATCCCCCAAAGCAAACCGGTCTCTACGCGGAAGGAGCCCTCACCGGGCGACGCGCTCACGCCAGCCGTGTCAGAGCACACGGTCAGGCAGAAATCGTCGCCCCAGCAGCAGCGGGCTAAGAAAACGGCCAGACGCCATACACCTCCGGAAACTTCCGATGAATCACCATCTACATCGGAAGACGAAGAATACCATCAGGTGACGACGAAGAAAGTGCTCAGATCACCACCGAAGTCACCCTCTCCACCACAACCCCCCACCGCTCCATATCACCGGATCGGCGAAGCCAAGATTCGGTCCAGTATGAGCAAGGGGGCGAGGAATCTTATAGCTGGGGGTCAACCACCTATGCAACCCTCGCAGCATCCGCCGGCCGATCATCACCGGTGGCAACAACCAACCCTCCGGGCTTCCGCAGGATGATGGCCAACGGCCATCTACCAGCTATGCCCATATGGTAGCTGCACCAGCAATACCACGACCACAACCGGCGGCAGTGCCTACTGATAAGCCTGCCTACCAGGAGAAAGCCAGATATCCATCCATAGTGGCTGAATGCCTACTGGATTAGACGAGGCATTTTAAGGAGCTCAACAGAATGTTGGGCCACCCTATAAATGCCCGTCCGTTCGGGAAAGGCGTACGGTTCACACCTCAGAGTGCTAATGAATTTAGAACTGTTCAGCGATATATGGTGGAACTTTCACAGGAAATACCAACACTGTCGTGGTATTGTTACACCCCGGAGGAGGACAAGCCCACTAAAGTTGGCATCCGGGTTCTACCAATGGGCACGGACACCAAAACAATAGAGGAGGCTATTTGCCGCTCTACAGGTAGAGCGCGCTCTAACCAGAAGCCAAGAGTGCAGGACCAGGACCATCAACACCCGAGACAATTGCTAACGCCTTCTTATAGGAGACTAACTACTGCCGGCCTCGAAACAGCAGATGCAATCCAACGTTTGGTTGGTATTGCCATCGAGGTCGGCACACAAGTCCTGGCCGATATCAGAGCCGGAACAGCTCCAGTGACGGCGATAATGAAGGCGCTGGCAAACCTACTAGCCCGGCATTACGGAGGAGTGTAATCTGCGCCTTCTCTATTGGAACCCGGACGGAATACAGCAGAAGCTGCATGAACTCCGCACAGTCGCTCAACAACAGGACTTGCACATCATATTACTGGGAGAGACGAAGTTAAACCCAAAGACGCATATTAAGCTGCCGAATTACCATTTGTACAGAAGGGACGAGGTCACCTCTCAAGGGGCCGCCTACAGAGGGACGGCGGTTCTAGTGGGGAGGGACATCGTCCACCAAGAGCTGGAATTACCATCATACCAGACTATGCGCTCAATCGGCATAAGAATGGAGGCGGCGGGCGAGGAACTAGGATCTACGCAGCATACCGCCCGCCAGGGACTCCATTCTGCTCCTCAGACATTCGGACGGTGATGGAAGGCGAAACACCCACCATCATCGCCGGGGATCTAAACGCCAAACACCCGGCATGGGGGTCCAGAGTGATCACCCCGCCGGGTCTTAACCCTATCGCTCGGCTACCAATCTAATCAGATCGTACAATACCTACCTTACGCCCGCTCTAGTACGGGGCTAATTAGATCAGATAATATCAGAAGTACTGCCTTATGAAAAAACTACTTTTTCCTTTAAAACAAAACCAAAGACAATATGCAATAGATAATAGTATCAAAGACAAAGATATGTTCTTTTATTTTAAACCATAACCTGGCAATGTTTCTTAGAAAAAAAAAAAAGAAATCACTCTAAACTTTCGGCGTTCCACGTGTCGTTTTGATGGAGGCGCTCCGTCTTTTTGATAGAATTTTATAATTGTGTCTGGACTAAAAACGAAAGTATTATACTTTTTTTATATTCCTTGTAATATAGTGAACACGTAGATATATAATTTGTGGTATAAAAAGTGAAAAGTAAATTGCCAAAAGTGCTTCAAAATCTGGAAGGCCCATTATGGCGGCTGGGTCAT